TTTGGCATGTAGGAAAAGAAAAATATCAGTGGAAACTTAAGATGAAAAGAAAGTGCGTCATGAAAATAATTTGTCATGTAAGAAGAAAAAATTTTCTACGGCAACGGAATATGAAAAGAATGTGTGAAGAAAAGAATTTGACATGTAAAAACGATAATCGGAATAAAAATAGTGCAGGAGTTGGAATAATGTCTTTTGAAGATTTCGATGAAAGTAAAGTTCCACAGAATTATTTAGGTTTAATAAATGTAGAATGTAAGTTTTGTAATGCGTTACATTTTTTGTGTGAAAGACCGTCACATAGATAAATCACCGAGGAATGTTCCCGTAATGTCACAAAAATATTCCCGGTTGATATCAGCTTGACATTCAAGCAATATTTCGAGTTACTTGGGTAGTAGATCCTATATAAAGAAATTTTTTTTTATATTTCTAATATTAAATTTTTTTGAGAAAAAAAATGAATAAAAAATATGGTTAATACACACTAGCAACGTAGTCGGCCGCTTGCGGACGACAAAGTTGCTAGTTTTTTTATAATTTGCAGTCGCATTACCAGAATTTTATCGAGCCGTAATAGCTCTAACTATCCTTGCCCCATGAGCCCATATTTCAGATTTTTCTAAATTTTAAGGAACGACGTGAATTAATTTTAAAATAAATACGATATTCGTGTTCAACAGGAAATTGCACTACGGAAAACACTTACGTAAATAAATATTCGGAAGCACTAATATAGAAAAAAATATTATAAACACTACGTTGACATTTTAGCAAAACTGACGTTTTACAAAAATAAACTCCTGACTTCGCAAATAGTAGCAGATTGACTTCCAATATTTACTATCATCTATTGGTGTTAAGACGCAAATATACCATGAATGACGCGATTTTTGAGCAAGCCGTCTAAGCATAACAGCAACTAACTATCCTTGCTCCATCCTCCCCTAATGAATAGTTTAAAATTATCAAAATATAAAATCGTCAATTGATAAATACCCGTAAATTCTCGGCGAGAGATATAGACGTAGCGGACACCTCCTGAAACCACAGAACGCAGATACATTATAATAAAATAAACCTCGAAAAAGTAGTTCCTACTTATTGATTGACAAATTAACCCGATGACTTCTTCGAGGATTTACGCGATTACATGGAACCGCCTAGAATTTCCTCTAACACACTAACCATACAGTTATTCGCATTATCGCTTTTTATTCCATTTTCATATAAAATTTTTCATATTGTTCAATCGTCAAATCTACCATCGCTACAAAGTAGACCTTTAATCAAAAACTAAGCAAGTAAAATTGAATCTGATTATAGAATTTCAACCAGAAAAAGCATAAGAAAAAACAGAAAAGCATAACAGACTATTTTAAACTCGTTTAAATAAATATATGGGATTCTTTATATAAATCATTGTAATATAAATGTTTATAAATACAAGAAATATTGAATCTTGGTAGACCAGTTATAATGACAACCTCGATAACACGAATTTTTTTTAACACGAACAGGCAAATTTTCCGGTTCATTCAAGTTCGTGTTAACGAGGGTTTACTGTATTTATTAAATAACAATTAATTTCGTAAATTAGTTTTTCACTTTTGGACGGTCCCAAAGTTTGGAAATCTTTCATTAACTTTTTCCAAGATTTCACGAACGTTCATCACTCTTCATGACAATCAATGTCTGCGCACGCGCACAAAAAAAAGTTTGTGGAATCTTGAAAAAAATTAATGAAAGATTTCATAACTTTGGGCCCCCCTGGCGGAATGTTTGAACGCGGATCGGACGCCGTTGCGTCCAATTCGCGTCTGACCGCGGACGCTCTTGTATTTTTGTTATTTTTAAACTTTAAATAATGAAAAAAGGTTAAAAAATTATTAGAAACTATAAAAAAGTATTAAAGAATCGAATAATACCATATTTATGCATGATTAATGCAAAATAAGTTAAAAATTAATACTTAAAAAAAAGGTAAATATGTGAAAGTTTATCATGAAATTTGTGTGCAATTTAACGAAATGTGTTGTTTACAGGAAATAATATTAAAAAAGAACATTAAAAAAGTAAATTTCTACAATTTAGAATTACTATTTTTGACAGAAATTAATTAAAATAAAAGTAAAAAAAATAAATGTTCCAACAATAAGAATTTACCGACAACAAGGCGTAAGTTCATGTGGTGAAATGCTAGATGGCAGCACATAAACTAATCAAATCTTTTTAAATGGAACAAGTAGAAAGAGAATCTCAAAACTTATAATCGAATGCAAAACTCGTTTGTCACATTTCACTAAAAATTCATCACGCTTAGGTTATAGAGGGCTCTGATGTCAAATTTAATAATAATAATTTTTAAAAATTAATAATAATAACCAATAAATTATTTTTTTAGATTTATCTCAAATTTACGAATCGGGGATTTTAGAGGGCAATAATATCGAAGTTAATAATAATAATAATTTTGAAAAATTCAAAATGTCTAAAAATTGTTTATTTAAATTTCTTTATAATTCACCACTCGGCGATTATAGATGGCGCTGATGTCAAATTTAATAATAAAATTTGTTTAAAATTAAAAATGGTGTCAAAAAGAAAGTTTTTCAGATTATTCTAAAAATAATTATTTTAAGGTATATAGAGGGCGTTGAGGTAGAATTTTATAGTTTTTAAAAATTCAAAATGGCGATCAAAAAATAGATTTTTCAGATTTTTCTAAATATAGTCGTTTAGTGATATAGAAAGCGCTGAGGTAGAGTTTCATAATTTAAAAAGTGCAAAATGGCGGCAAAAAATGTTTTCTCAGTTTTTTTTAAAACCTAAGAAGAAAATCATTTTAAGGTTATGTTTGTCGTAATTTTATCTTAATTAAAAGTTTATTTTTTATTATGTAAAGTAAAATCAGTTTTAATTAAATATTTTCAATGTTATGAAGATTTAAAAACCAATAATTTATATTGAGAGTTGATTCCCTTTGTGTATTTTTACTTTAAAAATCACAAACATAAGCTACAATTTTTTGCTTCTTAGGTACCATTTTGAATTTCCGAAAATTATTACTATTATTAAATTCGACAGCAATGCTCTTTAAAACCCCTGAGCGATAAATTTTAAAGAAATTAGACAAACAATTTAAGGGTAGCTATCTCGAATTTTTGAAAAATATTAAATTTTACTTCTAAATGATGGTTTTTAGAATAATTTAAAAATACTTTCTTTCTGCCACCATTTTTAATTTTAATCAAATTTTATTATTAAATTTGACATCAGCGCCATCTATAAGCCCCGAGTGTTAATTTTTAAAAAAATCTGAAAAAACATTTTTGCCGCCATTTTGAATTTTTTTAACTTATGAAATTCTACCTCAGTGCTCTCTGTATCACTAAACGACTATATTTAGAGAAATCTGAAAAATCTATTTTTTGATCGCCATTTAGAATTTTTGAAAATTATGAAATTCTACCTTAGCGCCCTCATATACCTTAAAATAATTATTTTTAGAATAATCTGAAAAACTTTCTTTTTGCAACCATTTTTAATTTTACAGAAATTTTATTATTAAATTTGACATCAGCGCCATCTATAATCGCCGAGTGGTGAATTATAAAGAAATTTAAATAAACAATTTTTAGACATTTTGAATTTTTCAAAATTATTATTATTATTAACTTCGATATTATTGCCCTCTAAAATCCCCGATTCGTAAATTTGAGATAAATCTAAAAAAATAATTTATTGGTTATTATTATTAATTTTTAAAAATTATTATTATTAAATTTAACATCAGAGCCCTCTATAACCTAAGCGTGATGAATTTTTAGTGAAATGTGACAAACGAGTTTTGCATTCGATTATAAGTTTTGAGATTCTCTTTCTTCTTGTTCCATTTAAAAAGATTTGATTAGTTTATGTGCTGCCATCTAGCATTTCACCACATGAACTTACGCCTTGTTGTCGGTAAATTCTTATTGTTGGAACATTTATTTTTATTACTTTTATTTTAATTAATTTCTGTCAAAAATAGTAATTCTAAATTGTAGAAATTTACTTTTTTAATGTTCTTTTTTAATATTATTTCCTGTAAACAACACATTTCGTTAAATTGCACACAAATTTCATGATAAACTTTCACATATTTACCTTTTTTTTAAGTATTAATTTTTAACTTATTTTGCATTAATCATGCATAAATATGGTATTATTCGATTCTTTAATACTTTTTTATAGTTTCTAATAATTTTTTAACCTTTTTTCATTATTTAAAGTTTAAAAATAACAAAAATACAAGAGCGTCCGCGGTCAGACGCGAATTGGACGCAACGGCGTCCGATCCGCGTTCAACCATTCCGCCAGGGCCGTCCAAAAGTAAACAACTAGTTAACGAAAGTTTCACGAACTATTTTTTTCCGTGTAATTGCAAAATTGGAAAAAGTCTCAAAATTTATATAAAATTTTTATAATTTTAGTACTTGCAAACCTTTAAAAAATTAATCATTAAAGTGGGAAATAATGGGGGTTGGCGCGTGAAGCGCGTAGGGGGCTAAGCCCCTCTAGTATACATATACAAGATGTTCAAAAAATATGGAAACTTGCAAATATCTCGAAAAGTACGCTTTTTCGTGATACTTCTTTTTTCACTGTTGGGTCCCGGGCTCAATGTTTTGTGTTGAAAAATGTGGATCATTTTGTTAGGAACAACTTTTGCGTTGAAAGTTTTTTACGAAAATGTGCGTGTGTGCCTAATATGGCCTTTCTGTGTATGTTTATCACATCTTTTACGGAATGTAAGTTTACCTTCATGGTGGAAGTTTTGAGTTTATCATAAGTCTACCACAGCTATACGTCTGACGCATAAGTTAACAGTTAAAGCTTTCTGAGAAAAATGACTTATGATTAAGTTTAATCCTTTTCAACTCTTTAAAACATTTTATTTTTGAGATAAATATTTAAATAAAAAAAACTTATAAGAAAAAAATATATAATTCAATTACTTGATAGAATAAGAATTCCCGGTGGCTGAATCCTCGATCTTCCCTCTATCCATTCTATATGGAAGTGAAAATCCACTGTCTCCCTTTTCTACCTTTTCTTTAAATTGTTGCAAACAATCCAAGAAAGCTACCATTGCTGAGTCGAATTTAGTGTCCCACAAAAACTTAAAGCCACCACTGCAGTGCAATGGAAGTTCTATATTTTGACCCAAGACTTTGATGTAACTGTGGTTTCCGCGAGGAACAAGTTGAAACCGCTGAAAAGTCAAGTTAATCTTTCGTGCAAGGGCAGTTAATAAAAGAGTTGCTTGTCCCCAAGCTGCGTTTATTTCACTCCAATCAACAGGTTGACTTGGTAATCTTCCTAATCGAAAGGAATTAATTGTGCCAAAGTGACCAGAATGCCAGATGTGAAATGTTGCGTTAAAAACATTTGTTTTTTTTAGTCTTTCCAATTGTGAAGATGCGTAGGCCAGCTGACATTCCAAACTGTACAGAAATATAACCAGGATTTTTTAATCTTTAAAAAAATAATTGCATTAATTAATGTTAATATTTATGTTTATGATGAAGTTGTATTTATATGTTACGGTGTATTCATAACAAGCTGTATCTCTAAAAGCGATTCTCAGCAGAAAGCAGGCCCGACAAGCCACAATGCAGCAGAAAGCGTGCCAGTATTTTATAAGAGTAATGCATATAGTGGCGTTTTCGGCAGATGCTCCGGAATGCTCTGGAGCATTTTTGATTGACTGGATTCAATGGAATTAATAGGTAATTGGACCATAAAATGCTCCGGAGTATTCCTGGAGCATCTACCGAAAACGCCTTAGAATAAACAACACTAGCGCGCCTTTCTGGTAAATTCAAAAGCATTGCTGTAAAATGTTTTGTCGGCTGTAAAAAAAGAATTCTACCATAAAGGTCCCCTAACCTCCAAATAATGCCCATCCAAAACATTCAAAACCACGAAGTAGTATAAGGAGTTGAATATCTATAGACGATTCTTAGTAAAAGGGTACTTTTGTTTGTTTGTTGTATTGTTCTTTCACAGTTGAAATAAATGATTTCTATTTTTAATCATTACGTTCAAGATTTTCTTTTTTACTTTTTGGAGCGATTATAACACCGGAAAGGATTCAAGAAAAAAATATATAATTTTTCTAACTTCATATTAGAGCAATTCCATGGGATGTGATCACAAGAATTTTTATGATTGGAGCAATTTTATAGAAACCTTGTGAATATGTTTCTTTATTTGTACAGAATGAAAGCCCACAAACAATTTTTCAAAATTTTCAAAATTTTTTGAGATATCTCTATTTAAAAATTTATGTCATTTTTTTAAAAAAAATATGTAACTTTTTTTCTTGTTATCCAAATGAGATCAATTTTTTTTCAAATTTCTCACAAAAAGATGCTATTTTAAGAAAAAAAATAGTTCATGAAAAAAAAAATTTTGAATTCATTTTTTGATAAAACTACCTCTTCGATTTCAAAAATTTTTTTTCTACTTATTGCCTATGATGTTAATAATAACTTCTCTAATTTTCATAATGGGACAGCAAGAACTTTGCGAGAAAAAAATTAAAACGTCCCGTGCGGCGCGATGGGACGCGCGCATCTTAGTTTTCACGTCCATTATATAGTATGAAAACTTGCAAATATCTCGAAAAGTACGAATTTTCGTAAAAAATGTTCAAGACAAAAGTTGTTCCAAACAAAAAGATCTACACCTTTGAAAGCAAAAAATTGGGTCCGGGGCCCAATGTTGGGCCATACAATGAAAAAAGTGGTTTTCTTAAATGAGACCACTAATTTTCATTGTATGGCCCAACATTGGGCCCCGGACCCAATTTTTTGCTTTCAAAGATGTAGATCTTTTGTTTAGAACAACTTTTGTCTTGAACATTTTTTACAAAAATTCGTACTTTTCGAGATATTTTCAAGTTTCCATACTATATAATGGACGTGAAAACTAAGATGCGCGCGTCCCATCGCGCCGCACGGGACATTTTAATTTTTTTCTCGCAAAGTTCTTGCTGTCCCATTATGAAAATTAGAGAAGTTATTCTTAACATCATAGGCAATAAGTAGAAAAAAAAATTTTTTGAAATCGAAGAGGTCTGTTTTTTCAAAAAATGAATTCAAAATTTTTTTTTTGCATTTGTTCCGGGCAAAAAAAAATTTTTTTTCATGAACTATTTTCTTCTTAAAATGGCATCTTTTTGTGAGAAATTTGAAAAAAAAATTGAACAAAGTTTCAATAAAATTGCTCCAATCATGAAAAATTCTTGTGATCACTTCCCATGGAATTGCTCATTAATGTTTTTAACTCCTAGCATAATCTAGAATAATGTATAGAAACATTTTAATCTTTTACAACATAATCATTAAGTCTTAGCTATAATTTGTTTTTTTGAAACTATTGTCCCCTATTGAAAATCCCCACATGGGAAACCACATGGGATCCTATGTCAAAAACTATGAAAAACCCCATTCCCCATATGGGAAACCATATGGTTTCCCATATAAAAACTCATGGGAAATTGGGACAGGAATTGGCATAGGAAAATATCAAAACGAGGTTCCTCCATGTAATTTCCTATGTCAAATCCCATGTCAAATATCATGTTAAATACCATGTTAAATACTAATTGAGATCCTTTATCACTTTTTTGAAAAATTTTCCCATATCAAACCCCATGTCATTTCCCAAGTAAAAACCTTTATCATTTTTTTGAAAAATTTTCCCATGTCAAATCCTCTTTCGCCTTATCGAAAATACCCACATAGGAAAGCATATGGGAATCCACATGGGACACCATATGGGAATCCACATGGGAAATGGAATACGATTTCATGTGCATTCTTCCAAATGATAAAACAAATAGATTTAAGCATAGGAAATCATATAAGATTTCATATAGATTCTGAAATTTCAACCTAAGATTTCACATGGATTTACATATAGGAAACGATATAGGATTTTATTCGGGAATTTTTTAGTTGGCTGCTTTATGCAGGCGGCAGTTTACAAAAAAAATTAATTATTTGATTAAATATCAAATAATAATACTTCAACACATCTGAAAATAAAAAAAAGTTTACTTTACTTCTGCCTTAGACTCTCAGCTTTTATAGTATTCCAGACTGATCTCAACTGTGAGAGAAAATATTTTCACCATCTGGTGGTGAAACAATGAAACTATAATGACGATCAACATCTATATTGAAAACAAAAATTGAAAACTTTTCGAAAAAATGATAAGATTTCACATGGGAAATGACATGGAAAAATTTTTCAAAAAAATGATAAAGGTTTTTACTTGGGAAATGACATGGGGTTTGACATGGGAAAATTTTTCAAAAAAGTGATAAAGGATCTCAATTAGTATTTAACATGGTATTTAACATGGTATTTAACCTCGTTTTGATATTTTCCTATGCCAATTCCTGTCCCAATTTCCCATGAGTTTTTATATGGGAAACCATATGGTTTCCCATATGGGGAATGGGGTTTTACATAGTTTTTGACATAGGATCCCATGTGGTTTCCCATGTGGGGATTTTCAATAGGGTCATTCTTAAACAGCTGAAGACTGAGTATTAATTATCTCATTCATAGATTCTGAAAACATTCCATATTGTGAAAAATTATAATGAGAAATATTTTATTTCACAAAAAGTGTCAAAAGTGCATCCACTGTGAAGGTACATATACAACATTACGATAAAAGGTCGCCAGTAAGGATTCAGTCTAGTTCCGTTGAAAAATCAAAATGGCGCGCACATTTATCAGTTCCGCAGAACTTTCTGTCTGCTTGGAGAAACTAAACGCGCAAGCGCAGTAGCTTGGCTTGCAGACACGAAGCACGTGGCAAGCCGCTGAGATTTTGCTTAGATGATAATGAGCTTAGATAATAATTCAGTTGTTAAATATGTTTTGAAAATAATTAATAATTTAAATTATAATTCAATTAATTTGACGTCAATTTCAATTATTATTGTCAATGATCAAATTCTCAAAAAAATTTGATGAAATTTTGACGATCAAAAATTTTAGGACAAACTATATCTACTAACTAACATAACTGTTTACTGATAGTGTTATGTCATATTTTAAATAAATATTAATTTTAACTAATCTGAACTTATAATTGTTCCCTATTCTAATTTCCTCAATTTAACTTAGTTAAATTAACTAAGTTGGGAAGAGGTTTATTAAATGAATGAATAGAAATATAATATAAAAATTATTTATTTAAAAAAATGTAAAATGTTCTTAACAATTTCTACAATCAAATAAATCCTTGTTTTAATATTTGGTATGGTTACCTTTAAATAATCTGTGAAGATTCTTCTATTAGTTTTTCCCTTTTTCGAACACAGGGTCTCCTAAGATTATATCTTCTAAGTTGTAAAATTTTTATTACTGTTTTGACACTGCAAACTTTTAATTGATGTACTATCACGACACTTTAAAACGGTATTAGATACTCGCAACGATGAATGTCGTACGTATAAATTTTGGGACTGCCTTTGTAGTGAAAGGTCTCCCTCTATATAGGTATATTTTCCAATGTATTCTTCGCGGCGGTACCACACTCGCCTCTTTGGGTTAGATTCAAGATCGGTACCTCACAGACGTGAAAAGTGTTTATTGCTTTTCTTCTATGTGTTGGTGACTCCGTATGTTGATTTCCTTTTTTTAATAACACAAAATGGCAAGAACACTACATCTTAAAGAAACATTATAATTTCTATATATTGATATATTTTAACATTAATTATAATTATTAACATTATTATTTTATTATACATTTAATATTTATAAACAATTAATTTACTGTCAAATATTCGTTTTATTTATAAATAATTGTTTATTTATAAATAATTGTTCATTTATAAATAATTGTTTATTTATAAATAATTGTTTATTTACTAATATTTGTTTATTTAAAAACAATTATTTATTTACAAATGTATTTAAAAAAAATTAATTTTACATAAATAAATATAAAAAAATGTTACGGTGACGTGACACCTCCCCCCAAATCGAGCATAATGATGAAACGAAGTGCAACAACATGGTCGACAGTTTTGTTTACATATATTCGTAGGCTTTTTTGTATGTTTACATAAAATATTTAAACGAAAGTAAGTATATTCTTAGATCTATTAATTACATTGTGATCGTGATTAAATACCATTTTTCTTTTTCTTTGTTTACATGAACTTATAAAAAGAGATGAGTCCTTTCATATCGAAATACTAATTTAAAGAAGTTTTACATTAATTTTTTGTTTAATTTTACTTAAACATAACGTTGTTACTAATATCGAAACATTTTACGCAGAGACGTCGTAATTCTATTTAATACAGAGTTATAAATTTTATGTTATTACAATATAAATTTGCTTGTCTTGATAATCTATCGTTAATTTAATATTATATATAAAAAATATATTATCTATATTATTATTATT